CTCGGTTTAAAGAGAAAATGGTCGATATCTTGCAAACACCAATATTCAGGTGGAGCCGAAGAGAAAATAAAGCCTGCAGAAGTAGTGAGGAATGTGCGTTTGGCTATACGAGCACGTGACAATGACTTACAGCAATTTCAACGTAAACTTCAGAATGCAGAGAATGAGGTGATTTCTTTTTTTTTTTGAAAGAGGGTGAGGGGAAGTGGAGGGGGTTGAGAATTGCCACAACTCTTTGCTCAGCTAATTGGGATTGAGATTGCGCTATTCAGGGCTATTTTTCCAAGGAACTGAGGGCATTCAAACGAATTTCGGGAGTTTCTAGGTCATAGGATAAGTGACTAAATCAAATTTTTAGGTGATGGCCGCAAAAATTTTCAGAGAAATTTTAAGAAATTCTGGATAGTTTTCAGCTAGGATACTTTTGAAGATTCCTCGAGGGGGTTATTTTGAGGCACTGCGGGAATTCGATGGCATTTTTAAAGCTTCTGGGCTGTTTGTCAGCATAAAATTGTGTGGCGATTGCATTTTGTTTCAGATCCATGAACTGGTGATGCGATGCGAGAATGCAGAAGGACTGAATAAACGGTTTGAAAAGCAACTGAGTGATTCAAAGAAGGAGATAAAAACACAGTACGTCGTCCCGTAATCTTGCTCATAATCTAATTAAGCATAAGAGAATGCCTATAATGTTGAAATTTAAATCGCATTGTCAAGAATATGATTTATAATAGGATGAAATTTCAATCTCGGCAAAAACTTCAGTAAATGCTTATTCTTGTTTGGTCAATAGTAGTGATGGTATGTGACTGGCGTGTGGCCGCGGCGAATTCGGCAAATTTCCTTTGGAATTCTGACATTCGGATTCCCATCAGACAGTTTTAAAAAACGGGTCGGAATTCCGAATTTTTGACTGATGAAATGTCAAATTGGTCGGCATCCGATATCTTGTTGTGCAAACGCTTCGTTCGATTCACTCGAATTGAAAGCGTTGCTTTTTGATGTGTGGTTTCAATTGATATGAGTGTGTGTGTGAGTGAAAATTTCTATTCAGTGTGTATTTTTTGGGATAAAATTTGGGATGAAATTTTCGTAAAAAGCAGCAGCCATTCAGGATCAGTGCAGTGGATGAGTTGAACCGTGAAGCGAAACGATTGGAGGATCGACTTCGCGCTTCGGAATCCGACCGAGTGACAGCCGAGACGGCTCGCAGGCATCTGGAAGACGAGATACGCAGACTCAAATTGTAGGTTTTGTGCTGATGTGCTGATCACTCGTCAGGGCTAGCAAGATAAAAAAGTATCAACAATTGAAAATATTTGACTGCTGACGTCAAAGTGAGGTTTGCATTCAGGCCTAGGCTAGCAAATAAGCTTATGAACAGTTTAAGCGTTGCTTTAGC